CGTCGGAACCTGGTTGGGAGGGAAAGAGGCGTAGCCCACAAAGTCACTCGGTTTTAGTTGCATCCCATGATTTTGAGTTTGCAAAATTGTTTTTTCCCTTTAAAGTACATCTTGGGTTTGCTTATGCATGCACTATTTAATGTGAAGATCAATTACTGTGTTTTTATTTGTGATGTGGTCTCTAAATATTTATCGGGGAACTCGAGTACGAGAAAACAATGCGACTGTGGGAAGTATTGTGGACACATTATTTGTCGGAGCACTTCCATCTGTACGTGTGCATAGCTATTTTGAAACGCTATCATGGCAAGATAATAGGGGAGCAAATGGATTTCGACACTCTTTTGAAGTTCATAAATGAACTGAGTGGTCGGACTGACCTTGATGCAACCTTGAGGGATGCAGAGGCTTTATGCGTATGTGCCGGTGAGAATGGAGCTGCTTGTATACCCCCCCGGAATTCCACCTTCATTGCCTGATGACAATGGTTTACTATATTCTCAACATGATGAAATATTGTAAATAATACATGCATGCATGCATGCATACATGTAAGAAGATATGAATTCGCTATTATTTTTGTATTGAAACCACCTCCCTACTGCTCTCTTAAGTTGGTCTTTTCCCTTGAAAGTCAACCTATCAGTTTTTTAACCCCCCCTTCAGCATTTCGAAGCCTACTGTAGGCAGTGATGGATCTATATTTGATTTAGGGTGAGCATAAAAATTTAAATTTCCTTATGTTAGTTTGTTATTTAATAGATTGTGCCAACCTTGAGATTTTATTTGTATCTATCTATGTATAAAAATTTTATGTTAATATAGGGATGTTTACCCTCAAAATTATTTATAGATCCATCACTTATAGTAGAGCACACCCACAACATGGCAGCTTAAAAGAGAGATGTTGTACACCCTTCGTATTGTGTGCACCAAGTTTTTGTAGCACCATTATTCATACCCCGTTAATAGTTGAACTATATCCGTTAAATGATAGTATTAGTTCCGAAGATCAGATCACTAATGAATTTTTTATTTTGATTATTTGGTTTAATTTGTTGCCATATATAAACACTATGCTAGTTTCTTGGTCAGTAAAATCACTTGAGATTATATCATTTTTTACATGATTATATTTGGCAAAACTTTTGAGATAATGTTCTGAAAGAAATTAATTCACGAGTTAATGTACTCTCAAGATTAATTGCTCAAATAAGGTGAAATCCACAGTGTTGGCCGTAGGTCGTCATGTACTCCGGGCGACCTTGTAGGTCGTCATGCACTCCGGGCGACCTTGTAGGTCGCCATGCACTTCGGGCGACCTACCCTTGCTCAAACAGAGAGAATGAACGTGAGAATGAACGTGTTGCATGGCACATGCACGTCCCAACACATAGGTCGCCATGCCCTCCGGGAGACCTTGTAGGTCGCCATGCCCTCCGGACGACCTTGTAGGTCGTCATGCACTTCGGGCGACCTACACTCGCTCGGCTTCCCTCGGATTCCCTCGCATAGCTCGCTCGGTTGCCCTCGCATAGCTCGTTCGGATGGCCTTGGATGCTCTCGGATGGCCTCGGATGCCCAGCGTGTTGGGACGTGCATGGCACATGCAATCTCTTGTAGCTCGCCGGGAAGACATGGCGACCTAGTAGGTCGCCCGGAAGGCATGGCGACCTACGGCCAACACTGTGAATTTCACCTTATTTGAGCAATTAATCTTGGGAGTGCTTTATCTCGTGAATTAATTTTTTTCAAAACATTATCTCGAAAGTTTTGCCGATTATATTTATGTATATTAAGTTGACACATAAAAAAACAAAAACCAAACAAACAAAGCATGATTCACGTACATGAATTATCCTAGATTTGGTGAAAATAAAGATGAAAGTAGAACATATATTGGATCCAATCCCCAAGGGCTTTGTTTTTTTGCTTTTACTTTTGGGGTATGGTGAGATTGAGTGAGATTTTGTTGCAGCTTTGGTCTATGTAAAAGGGGAAATCCCCACCACAATTCATATATTTTTATGAATTGTCAACTATATTTGAAACGTTTGTTGGGGACAGACACCCATTGTGATTGTGACATTAAAACCAGTATGTATTAATACGGAGAGTGAATAACAATGCAACAGAATAGCACAGACTTGAATCTCAAGCTCCACGTTTAGTCTTCAACTTCCTATACAACCAACTTTCTTGCTCTCTTTAACTTCAAATTCCCAAGTAATTTACCATTCAATATGAAGGAGAGATTGAGAAATTGAAGCTTGCATTGTGGAAAAACAATAACATCCCATTGGACTATAAGATTCGTTAAATAGATTGCCAACAACGCCATGGTTTTTGTTACACATTCCCTAGTAACCGCTACTTAAATTCCATGCTTTCAGAATCTATTAGGTGATTTTAGTGATTAAAGAGAGTGTTGTTCTCCTTTGAGGTATTGAGTTCAAGCAGTTGCATCTTTAAAGTTTGTGTGTGTTATTAATGATTAAGAAATATAATGAACATATATTACGTTGTAATCATTTCATACTATTAAAAAAAATTCATGTTTCCATTTTTGTTATGTTTTCCCGTTTCAGACTTCACAATTACAAGCGACATTTTCAGTTCACCTCTTTATACATACAGTAAATTTAGTTGTCCTTTTAAAATCATTAATCCATTAAGTATTTCTAGGGTTTAAATTCGATACGTAAATTATATGCATAATTCATGAACTACACAATAATACATAATTTAATTTACTAATAATAAAAAATTAAATATTATCGCCATTTGACAATGAATGTTCAATTCCTCTTGTAATCGCTGGTGCTCAAACTCATAACCTATGATAATAACAACGATTCATTTAATCATAGAGGTAAGTTGATTCGTGAAACTCATATATCTAATTGAATAATTTAAACTCAGTCAATTTGATAGGGCGAGTCAATTTTATGGGATTATTTACAACCTTTATATTTGGAGAAAGGGTTGGAAATATTCAAGTAAAAGTATAATAGTATTACTAACCAGAATGATTTGATAAAATGTTTGAAAATAATCAAATGGAAATATGTGGTAAATGCCGGAAGTATTTAAAGAAATTATTAAAAATTGACAGGAACAAATCATTAATTACATGATCCTATCTTGTTAAAAGAAGTATATATTTTATATCATTTGAGTGGTCTAAGTGATTAAACAGAGTGTTATTATTTCTTAAAATCCTAGGTTCAAAGTAGTTATATTGTATGATATGTGTTTATTATCCATGATTAAGAAAGATTATAACAAATATTATTTTATAATCACTCTAAATTATTAAAAAAATTCAAAATTAGTAAATAGAGTTGATGTTGAATAGGACAAATATTGGGAAATTAATTCACAAAAGCTATGGGCTCTTTTAGCCATTGAAATATACTTTTTGGAGTGGAAATGGTTATGGTTGGAATGATAAGAGGCATCATTGTGGGAGAGCGGTATTAGTTTTTTTGTTTGATGCTATGATGATGTTGGTAAAGAATTCGAGACAAATTGTGAAAATGGGAAGGAGGTTGTGTAAAATTATAGCAACCGAAAAGCAGTATTGTTTCTGAGTTGACACTCGCAGATGAGTTGACTCAAATGCTATCAATGCCTCTGTGTTGTTTTCTTTAAATCCTCATCAATAAAATGTTTTAAGAAAATTTCACTCCCCTACAGTCCCCCACTATTCTTAATTATCTATTATTCGAATTTTTTAATACACATTCATATAAAATTCAAATTTTACAAATATACTTGTGAATGTACTTAAATCCCAACCCATAAAATATAATCTCTAAACTATTAAAGAGTGTGTATGGTGGTCAGAGCAACATATAAGGTAGTATATGTTATTTTCTTAATCATTGACAATGCAATGTAATTACTCAAATCTAAGACCTCTAGGGAGAACAACACTCCTTCTAACCACTAAGATCACTTGATGAGTTCGATTTTAAATTTTAAATCTAAATAATAAATCATAAACTCTAAATTGCAATGTGCTTGTGAAATATATTTTTCCACCATCGATACAAGGGATAATAATCCCTTATTATTATTTTATTGAAACTCAACTTTTTATCATTAAAAGTGTATATATTTATTGTGATGATGATACATTAAATTATGTATAGTACATGAATAACATGATGATACATCATTAAAAATTTGAAAAATAAATTCATTTGATTTTATTTTTTAATGACATGACATTATATTTACCAACGATAAATAACATTCGTATACAAACAATACATCAAATATCAATCTTTGAAGAAATATTATTATCTGTTATATGGAGTTATCTAAAAAAGTATATAATTTTTCTTTGTTCAAAGTATGAACTGTTTTACCCATGTAATAAATTCTAATTATATTTAAATATTATTTGTCAGTGAAGGAGAGAAACTATAGTTAATTAATAAAGAATAATGTTTTCTTATTCAAAATTAGTTATGAAAACACATAAAATGTGAATACAAGAATACCGTTTTTAAATATCTTATATATTGCCTTTGTAACAATAAGTAGGGAGTAGGAGATGAATGTAAAGTCTGAAATTGATTTAAACATTTATACACTAAATATTATTGCGATGATGAAACATTAAATTATGAATGGTAACATGTTGATACATCATTAAAATCTTAAATTTTAGATTTATTTATTTTTTTAAAAATGAAATGACACATCCTATTCACTGATGATGAATTTACAAACAATGCATCAAATTAATTCTTGAAGAAGTTGTAGATTCAAATACTCTAAATACGATTATCTCTTATTTAGGATTAAGCATTTGGTTACGTTTGGAGGGAGAGCAAAAGTAAATGAAAAGAGGGCCCTTTCCTCGATGCATCTTTTTATGACTGTGTTAGTACTGTAGATGCATGAACTCTTGTTTTACCAAAAGCTGAATCCAAATGGAAAGATTTGACATCTCACCCATACTTTGCTCTTGTATATAAAATTCCATCCCCATTTCAAAGTTTAATTCAACTCGGGGAGTTAGAAGCCATGGAGGGGCAGAAGAAGAAGGGAGGGCCAAAAAGAGGACTATGGAAGCAAGAGGAAGACATGATTTTGAAGAACTACGTCGAGGCCTATGGCGAAGGCAACTGGGCTATCGTCTCTAAGAGATCAGGTTGTTATATATGTTTTCTGTACGCATGCTTATATATATAAATAAATAATTGGACATTTGCAGGGTTGAAGAGAGGAGGCAAAAGTTGCAGACTGAGATGGAAGAATTACCTCAGGCCGAACATCAAACGTGGACAAATGTCTAAGGAAGAAGAAGACCTCATTATCCGAATGCACAACCTTCTCGGCAACCGGTTTGTATTTCCCCCTCCCAACAAATTCAACTATACAGTAACCCACGTTCAATATACTGTCATTCCTACAAATTTTAAATTATTATAAATTTTATTAATTTATTTTGTACTTTCTATCGATAATAATATGTTTTCGCTCCTAAAGTGTTATAAATTTATCCTTCTTTCAAACTTTAAAAATTCATTCTCTAACACAAAACCATACTTCCACTCTAATAGTAAATGCGTATTAGATCAGGTTTGAGTATTATGAAATTATAAGAATAGAGATCATGTTATGCCAAAGTATGGTGCAAATGTAGTAGTAAAGGGACTAAAATCAGAATTTAAGCTTTACTAATAGATGATTTTAAATACAATTTTGATTATTTTACATAATTAAATCAAGTATGCATGGGTCAATGAAGAAAAGAAAAGAAGATTTGTTGTGATGATTTTAATTTTGGATTATTAATAAATTGTAGTTGGTCTCTAATTGCGGGGAGACTTCCTGGTCGGACTGACAACGAAGTGAAGAACTATTGGAATACCCATTTGAACAAGAAAAGTTGCAGTGTTTTAGGCAAACGAAAATCCATTCATCACAACGACAATCCTACAATTGATGAGAATCAAGACGGCGATAATTCTGAGCCGCCAATCATCTCGAGTTCAAAAACGACGACGGATGTTGACGAAGGATCAATGGATTTGGATGATGAGAAGAAGAAGACGATGATGAAGGAAGAAGATATCGTCCATGGCTTTACGGATAACACGTGGATGGAAGGAGCAGTTGAGTGGTTCAACTATGATGATTACTACCAAGTGGAAGCTCCGTTGATGATGAAGATGATGACCCTCAATTCTTCAAACATGGTGTTGGATGAGGAGCCGTACACGCCTTCCCTCGATTCTTTTCTTCTTTTCGATGCATTCTGAGGTCGGAAACCAATCGTTCTTGCCTTAGACCCACCGCCACCGCCACCGGGCCGAGGCTGGGAGTTGTTTTGGAGCGCGTGAAGAAGTGAAAGTGGGGGATTATAATTTTAACTTAACCACCGACTTCGGTCCCATTTGCTCAAGTTAAAACTTATAATTCTTTTCTTTTCCGGATTTTTTTTTTAAAAAAGGTATCTTTTAAGAGTCAATTTTCCTCTGTTTTTTTTTAAAATTTAATTTGATGTATTCATTTTAGAAGTTGTGTTTTTCGGTGTTCAAAGATATGTTTCATATTTATAAAACGATTGTTTTCGACGCCTTCTATTATCATTTTTCCATGAAGAATAGGTTATAGGACTCAAAGAATGCCTTGTAACCGCACTACTAAACACCAAGTTGTGTTGGATTAAAGCTAATAGGATGCATGAAGCTACTACGTATTTGACATTTTAATTGTGGAGTTGTACGAACATCCAGCTTCGCTGTCTAAATCGGAAAATGTTGGTTGTGTGTAGGCTGAGATGAGTCTCATTCTGCTAGCTCTCGTATCCGCATTACTTCAAATCAGAGAATGCGATCGAGTGACTTCGCCGGCAGCACCATCATTCCAGAAATGGTTGAGAGTCCATGCAGAGGTGCACCAATTTCCTTTGATATTGCCCAAAATATTCACAGACTGCAATAACATCTTCATTCTCTGGGTTTAAACCAGACAATTCAAGCTGTGTATCCTTGATTGATGATGAACTTGACTCGTCATCTGAACCTAATACATCAGTGATAATTTCTGCATGAATTTCACGGCAAGCCATTATGAACATGGAAGCTGTGTCCGGTTGCTTTGCTTTTCGAAGCGCTGCTGCCTCCTGCATTGCCCCCGCCGCAACAAATAATATAAGAGCCCTGCATCCAGCCATTGTAAGATTAAGTAATTTTCTCATTCCATAATAAGTACAATACAAAATTTACTTGTACCTCCAAATGTTGTGTTCTGCAGAAAGGACATGCTCAGCCCACCTTTGTAAAACCCTGCAAAAAGAATAATCCGAAATGAAGGTATCATAACAAAGGCAAAGCCTCTGTTGGAGCATCTTAAAGGATAAAAAGAACTGATTGATTTTGGATCAAGTTCTCATTGAACCTGTAAACATGGTAGATGATCATGTTAGAAGGAACAAAAGGTGCGTCGTTAAGTCGTCAAATAGGCAAGTTCAGCTTATGAATGGAACTAAAATTAAGGCTAATGCTAGGGGAGAAACAAAAAACCTTGCATAATCAGATCCCCTTAAATGTGCTGCTGCTAAAGTAGCAGCATCAGTCCAGCATCCAGCATCTTGTAGCTGCATAAGAGTTAACCATCAGTCTAGATACATTTAGGAAGGTGAATACCAACGAATCCCAGCGATTCTATTACATCCTTAAAACAAGAAAATGAAAAGTACTGAATTTGGTTTTGATGATTGACTTATTGTTTCGACAAACGGAACCTAACCTGTGAACAAGCTTCTTGATACCTTCCAACTGCACATAGAAGATGAATGCCGGATAGTGACCGGTCGGTTCTCACCATGTTAGCAGCTACAACCTAAATTATTACACATTAGTGAATAGCGGCCAAAAAATGAGGAAAGTTTGAGAGAATGATAAAACCTAGAAACTCGCATGTTTTAAACTAAAAAAATGAATTCAAAGGCAACCCTCACCTTAACTGCAAGTTCAAGAAGAGACCTCGACACCGCAGATGAAAGAGCAACGGCACGTAGAGCATTTGGATAGAAGTAGGGGCTCTCTGGTGAAGTGGAAAGCAATAAACGACAGCATTTTCCAAATTCCCTACCGAGACAAGACTGTCACGAAAAATAGGCATTACAATTACCAGTGTGGCAGACACAGAACAACATAAGACTTGCCTGGTGAATGTTACTCTGGAAATGGATTAAGTTGATGATTCAACTGCCCCTTTCCTCCCTAACCTTGAGTGACAGCCACAAGCTTTTGGACTTGTAAACAAAAAGATTAATACAGATGAGAAAGTTTACCACAGTACAAGCTGAGTGAACTTTAACCCTTAACCCTTATACACTCTGATTTGAACAAACTGGAGACCTAAATAATTTACAGTTAATACTGTGCACCAACTGTTGTAATATGCAGTCCTTGATGCACATCATTACAACAGTTTTTCTTTGCTTCTTTCTTCTAGAAGCAAAAGCAGAAAAAGTAGCAGCTTCTAAATGACATTAAATAAATTCTAAACATCTTGCTCTTCCACAAAGATATGCAGCAACTTCACTGTTCAACAGTTAACATAGGCAATAAAATAACATAAGATCGTGAGCTCACTCATGTATACGGTTCTGAATTGCCTCTTTCCCTCCAATTCTCGTGCCAAGGGATACGCTCATTAGCACTTTCCACAGTCTTCTTGCTCAAAAGCCATTAATCTAAGCTGACCCTGACTCTGCGACCAGAAAACATGTATTGGCAACAAAAGTTTATAAATAACAGATACAAGAGATATGCAAGCCATGGTACTCACCAATTAAACTAAACCACTAAAGACTTACCAATGCATCCCCCCACCCAGTTTCTGGTGTTGATTTCCCTTCAACGTTATTCTACTAAGTAGATATGTGTCATCAAGCTCTGAATTTTGTAAATAGGTGACTTCTCCAAAGACCTTTTCACTAATTTATTCATAAAGTGGTTCATGGCACGAGGCAACTGCAACCAGAAAAGTGCTTCTGAGACTTCACCAAACGTAGCAGCTGCAAAGGCAAACCTTGCAGCACAACCTTTATTGACAATGGTAGCATACAGTCTAGCCCTTTCCTCATCAAATAAGCAGCCTTGAGCAATGAACCAAAGGAAAAGGATAAGAATATTGATCAAATGTTCAATGAAAGAATTAGGTATACTAAAACCTGCCTTCCCTTCTATAAGGTTCTAATGCTTTCAGGAGCAACTCTGGTACTACAGAATCACCGATAGGTGGTAATTCAATCATGTAACTGCGAAGATCCCCTGAGAATGACATACTTCTTGTAACGGTTTGGGGCCTCTGATCTACAATTGTACCTAAAGTATTAAACCAAGAGGTTTTACACCCAATTGTAAGATCATTCGTAGTGCCTGAAAAAATGTCATGAAAATAGATCATTCTCTGAATTCTCATTTACCTTCGAAACGTGCACCGATAACATGAAACTTTAGTTTCTAACGGCTTAATCTTCCTGTTCATATATATATATATATGAAATCAAGGTAATGCGGTTGCTAGTTAGCCATTAGGGCGCATACTTAGCATTTTGTTGATTTGGTAACCAAATATCGAATGGAGTTTGTTAGGAATCAGAGAACTAAGATATTGCACAATTCATCCATGATATAGGCCGGTGAAGCATTTTTACCAATATTCAAAGGCAATTGGTGGTTTAATGATGGACATGCCTCCGCTAAATTACAAATAATGCAACAGCTGTTATAAAACCCTTTGGTACTTAGCACCATGCAAATGTGAAAAATAAGTTATTATATCAATTACTAAGAAAAAATGAATAGGGCAGAATTTTACCAATGCATGAGGTGTAGAAGCAATATGGGACAACATAAAGGCATCGGCCGGAATGTCTTTTATACTTCGTGGCTGAAACCCAGGGATCCTTCTTTTATAATTTCTGTATGAATACCAGTAACGTTACTAAACTACAAAATCAGAAACTTCACATAAATCATATCGTAACCAGCATAGCATCACTCTTTGTTCTCAAAGCTAACCCACTGATTGTTTCATCACTTACCTATCTGAGTACACTAATTTACAATACAAACATGTTCATTTAACTCTTCATTTTTCTTTAAGCACTTGTGTCAGACATTCGGGCATTTTCTGGAAATAAGACCCTCTTAGACAAATTTAAGTATCCAACTATTTCCTCAAAAAAAAGCATCCAACAGTATACTATAAAAAAAGACAAAATAAGTATCCAACACTAACCCCACGTCGACTTTGGTTACTAATATAGGTCGTCTTTGCACCCTGTAATCTAGAGCTAACTACAATGAAGTTCAAGAACTGTAAACAAATTGTGGTACATACTGATAACCTCATAAAGACGGAAGCTACTATCAGCTCCTGCATACACAAAACCAGTGGATCATTCTTGTCATTCCACAAAGGCAACCAATCCAATTCCAGTACAAGGGTTCCAGGACATTGAGGTTGTAAAAGAGATTGGCCATGGTTCTGGTGAATCCTGCAACTCCCAAATAGTAACTACTAAGCTCAAATGTAAAAAACCCTTTGAAAGGCCCTCTTTGCTCAAAAGCATAGTTAAAGCTAAAAAAAGTAACTTATACAATCTTATATGATATGTATTTACACCATGTATTGCAAGATAATTGCAGAAGACACAAGTGGAAGAGAAGAAGCATTGACAAATGCATTCACACTTACAAGTTCAAATACAGAAAATGTATTGTCTAAAATAGAACAGCAACACGCCCTCGACTACAGTCTCCCGTAACAACAGGTGAGAATTTGATTCTTCGGATTCCTTCCCTACGAGTGTTAAATGAGAAAGATTGGCCAGTAGTTACATCCCACCGCCTGATATAACCAACCCTGTCCCCCATAACCTGAGAATTAATGGTGTCAGTGGCTACAGAGAAATCTCCAAAGAAACAAGAAAATCTGAACCTCCAATTGGATGAATAATTTAGAATACAATGCGTACAACATGAGGTAAGCGGTAGGCCATGGCATAATCAATCCATCAGATGGAACAAATGGAAGCAGGCCATTTTTCTGGAGACATGCAAGATCCTTCTTAGTGCAAGATTAAAAGGAGAGCGAACGCAGTGCACAAACAAATTTGTCCAAGTTCAATAACCATTGATTTTGGTCCAACTACAAATATTTTATCATTAAGTTGACATAAACGAATGTGCAGTATACAAAACACATTAAAACTGAATGCTAAATCTACAAGCTAGCTACTGGGACTCAACTTCACGGAGTAAGATGTAAAACAAACTTCATTATGACTAGCTAACTTGTAAACTGAATAGAGTAACAACTTACGTCCTA